ATTTTTTTTTTATTTTAGTTTTAACTTTTAAGTGTGTTGTTTTTAGTTTTTACTTTTTAGTGGCATGCCATGCCTCATGCACGTGCTATTTAATGACAAAAACACCCTTCTGTTGTTTCCAAATTTACAACTTTCATTTTTGTTTTGTTGTGATTTGACAAAAAAGCCCTCACGAACCCTCGAGTTAAATAAAATTAAGCTTAATTACTACCGTGGTTGTCCTTGTAGTATTATTATTCGCGAGTGAAGAATCGAGTTTGTAGTTGCCCGCTGCACTTTTTGTATGCCGATTATCTTTTGTTTGAACCACAATTTTGATATATAAATTTACTTTTAACAGTAAAAAAATAAAATAAATTAAGCTTACTATAAAATAAATAATAATTTGTGTGATATTGTTGGAAGGCTGATTATTGATGTTTGAAACTTAAGCCTTTCAACATCATTCAAGACTTCAATCAACACTCATTCTAATCCACCCACCTATTTTAATAATTATTACATAAGAGAATTTTACTAGTTTATCTCATTCTCAAATTATTATGTAGAAAAGTAATAATACAAAATATACATATTGAGGATAGTACTTCGGTTGAGTCATCATAATAGTTAAATTGTTATATATTTTTTTCATAAATATATGAATTTATATTAAAAAATTTCATACTTTAAACTGAAGTATGACATTTGATAACATAAATATGTAAATTTATTTAAAAAATTAGTACGGGTCGATTTAGTAACAGTTTGGTGGCTCACATTAGATTTGTATTTTATTTGTTAATTATCTTTTTATGTATTTTACATATCACATTTAAAATTTTATTTTATAATAAGGTATTTTGAATGTAACTACAACCATAATTGAGTAATTGACTACATGAGTAAGATAGTAATTCAATGGTTTCATTGTTTGGTAGCATAAGAATAGGTAGTTTACCCTAGAGAATTATTCTTTATGTTAGATTAAAAATTGCTCGTGTACTCAAGACTAGGTTATAGGATTTGGCAAGCTATTTTACATCTAGAATCAAATGTTAACCAATTCCAAAATTTAGTGAAGAATTTTGACCACATATCATTCTTTATTAAATTTTGCATCGATTGGACACATTTCTATAAGCATTGGGATTATTGTTCACCTATCCGCCGTGAGCATATTAATATATTGTTTATTAATTACACGTCAAGATCACATGATATTTTAATTATAAACCTAACCGTGTACCGTATGCTGATCTCCTAATACATAAATTGACGAACAAATTAACATGTGTCACTATAGACAGGATAAAGAGATTGGCTGAAGTAAATCAACCATATATTATGTATGTGAACAAATTAACATTGCCATCATAGTCAGGATAAACAGACTGGGATAAAGAGACTCGTTGAAATAAATTAATTACATATTATGTATGCGAACAAATTAACATTGCCATCGCAGTTAAGATAAAGAGACTGATTAAATAATTTGTAGAAATTCAGTTGCCATAACCTCAAAAAATTATTTATTGTAACTAGGTTATATTACTTGAAAAGAAACAAATTTAAAGAAAATTATGAATTCACAAATGTATAAAATAAAGGGATTGGAGTTGCAAACGATTCGAGTCGAACATAGACCTTGTCTAGCACAAATCAAACTCTTATCTTCACTGTCCGAGCTCTAGCTCGACTAGCATGTAAAATACTGATCGACTCGATGCTCGGCATGGCTCGGGTTTGGTTTGAATTTTCAAAAACCAAAATTTTAAATATAAATGTATTATTTTTAATCAAAATAAGACAATTTTAGCATTGATGCTCTAATATTAATAATTAAATTATGCGAGGCATTTGTGCAAAAAAAGTCGAGCGTCTCGTCAAACTTACGAGCATATTAAAATGCTGATCGAGCATCGACTCGTTTGCTCGATTGAACTGCTCAAGCTCAACTCAAGTTAGAGTTTGATCGAGCTCAAGTGGAGCATTGACTCGAGTGCTCGCGAGCGGTCCGTGAGCCGATCAACTCATTTGTCGCCCTAGGTGGGGCAACAATAAAGGATAATAAAATGTGTAGTAACATTTAATTTTGTAAATTATGAAAATTGAGATTGAAAAGGGGGTGTCTATATGTACACCCCTCAAGTGTAAAAAAGGGGTGTACATATAGCACTTTTCTTTGTGTAATTTATTAAAAGGGGGTGTACATATAGCATTGCCCATTGAAAATTACATTAATAAAGATAAATGGAAAAAGGGCAAAAAGGGTAGAGAAAATTTGACAGGGGTCATTATCATTTGGAGAGCCGCATGTCTCCTCTGAAGTTGATCTTCGCATGTTATGAATGTTTTACTCTCTTTTGAACCATTTATGAGTAATTTCTCTCTCACACACACACACACACACATTCTTCTCCATTAACTCCTCTTCTGATTACTCTCAGTACTCACAGTGACCAGAAAACAGAGTCCCAACCCCTCTCTCTCTCTCCCTCTCTCCGGTAAAGATGAACAGATGCATTCAATAGCTAAACTGCAAGAAACCCTTTTTTGAATGAATCTTTTGTACCGAAAAATCACACCTTCTTCTTCTGTTGGCCTTGTTGTTCTTTTACCCCTTTATTGAAAATGCCATTGAGAAAAACAACCCCTTTTGCGTTTTCTGGTATGAAAATCGAAACCTCCCAACACATGTAATGTATGCATATGCACATCATGTTTTCGACTCATCTTCTTGAACGAGCATTAACCCTTTTGATTTTCACCTCAAAAGCTCGAGGGCCCACATAAAGTTTCAATCTTTTTTTACTCTCTTGCCTTTCCAGTTCCCTTTATTGCTAAATATAATCAAATCCCACCAAGATTCACACAAAAAGGAGGTGGATTTTTGCTCTTCTTTTCCTCGTTTGATGTTTTTTTTTTATTGTGAAGAACCCATGAAGAATTTTCAGTGGCTGAAGCAAATAGCAAACACCCACAGCAAGCTCGAGAGGAGGCTCTCACTGGGCGAGTACAAACGTGCTGTCTCATGGTCAAAATACTTAGTCTCCTCAGGAGCTGAAATCAAAGGTGGGGGTGAGGATGAATGGAGTGCTGACATGTCACAGCTTTACATAGGCAACAAATTTGCCTCTGGGAGGCACAGCAGAATCTACAGGGGTGTTTATAAGCAGAGAGATGTGGCCATCAAGCTCATTAGCCAGCCTGAGGAAGATGGAGACTTGGCTGCATTCTTGGAGAAACAGTTCAAATCAGAGGTTGCTTTGTTGTTCAGGTTAAGGCATCCTAACATCATCTCTGTAAGTACAGATCTTTGTTTTTTGTTTTATTTTTTTAACTCAATTTGTTCTTGCTGTCTTCTGATTTGTATTTGTGCTGTGTGCTCTTTTTTGGTTATGTAGTTTCGTTTTGATGGGTCTTGCCTTTTTGGGGGGTTCATCATTTGGGATTCTTTTTGGGTTGGTTGTACATTGTGCTTTGGATGTTGTACCTTGCTTTACAGATCCCTACTTCACTGGCATTATCAATTTTCCTAGAGATTGGCTGGTTATCTTTGTGTTTATGTTGCTGTTAGTCCCATGTGTAATTGTTGAGTTAGTTTATAATCACAAAATAGTTGCAATTAGTGGTCAAGATCTGAACTTTTCTATGTTAGGCTTTTATAGTGTTTGGTATTAAAGAACTTAGACCTTAGGAATTATATGTCGTCGAGCTCATTCCTACGGATCACGTTCATATTAACATCATTATATAAATCCAACCGCCTCCAGAAGATGATCTTCATGGTAGAAGCTTGTTTTTTATTCAAATCTGTCCATGACTAAAGAGTTTCTAAAAAAAAAAGGGGGGGAAAAAATCCACATTTGGAAGTTAAATCATGCACAATTTTAAGTCATATCATAACCGATCAACATTACGCATGCAGTTCATAGCAGCATGCAAGAAAGCTCCAGTCTTTTGCATAATAACCGAGTACTATCCCGGTGGGTCCCTCAGAAAATACCTTCACCAGCAAGAACCATATTCCCTCCCATTAAACCTCGTCCTAAAGCTAGCCCTCGACATTGCTCGTGGCATGCAGTACCTTCACGCTCAAGGTATACTTCACAGGGACCTCAAATCCGAAAACCTTCTTCTCGATGAGGACATGTGTGTAAAAGTAGCGGATTTCGGCATATCGTGTTTGGAGTCTCAATGTGGGAGTGCAAAAGGGTTCACGGGGACTTACCGATGGATGGCGCCTGAAATGATCGAGGAAAAACACCACACGAAGAAAGTCGATGTGTATAGTTTCGGTGTTGTTGTGTGGGAGCTTTTGACCGCTTTGACCCCGTTTGACGATATGACTCCAGAACAGGCTGCTTTTGCCGTGTGCCAAAAGGTAAAAAAGATTTAATCTTTTGATGGATTCTTCTTTTCTGTGCTCTTATGGTTTCAACTGCTGCGCTTCTTTGTGCTATATATGGCCTATTTCCTTCTGGATTTTCTGATAATACATATTACATAGAATTGTAAATTGCAATGCATGATTTACCTGGCTGAGTTGAGGTTGTTATTTTTGCTGAGCATCAGCACAATCTTCTAGAAGGAACTGCCTTCAAATGTGAGTTCTATATAGTGGATATCAAACAGGGTCATTATTATCATTATTATTCTTTTTGGCCCATGAGATCTATATTCAAATGTGTGAGTTCTGATCATGTATCTTTAAGTCTTTCCGGTATCTAGACAATTTCGACGTAATTGTGTGATCTTATGAGTTATGAGGATCTCGGTCCAGAATGTAAAATACAGAAATTTTTATGCTTAGGAGGTATTATTTGCAGATTATCCCCTACGATTGACATGTTTGCATCTGTTCGGTCCTCATCATGATCAACAATTTTTTTACAAAATGACTTTTTCAGTTTAAATCGTGCTCCAACGGACAGCTGTTCCTTTCATAATGTGATTCGACGAAAATTTTCATGTATAGAACTAACTAGAGGGACAACTATTCTCCAAACAATCTACATTACAGAATCAAGAAGGGAATAATATAATCTTCCAGTTATTCTTTAATTTCATACATCAACTTTCATGTCTTTTTTCTTTGCAGCACGCGAGGCCACCGATACCTTCTTCGTGCCCCACTGCACTTCGCCGTCTAATCCACCGTTGCTGGTCAAAAAATCCAGAAAAGCGGCCCCACTTTGACGAGATCGTGAGTCTGCTCGAGAGCTATTTGGAATCGGTCGAGCAAGACCCGGAATTTCTTTCGAACTATGAGCCACAAGAAAGTTGTGCTGTCTTGAGATGCCTGCCGACTTGCATGGCCGCCCGTCGGTCCCCGACTCTAAAGGCGTGAGGCAACCGTTTAGGCGATCGCGTTTTGCCGAAGCTAGAAATGCTGCTGTAGGCTCTTTTTTTTTTTTCCTTTTTGTGTTAGGGT